CGTGCGCATCACGGGTCTGCCACTGGGAACGCAGAGTGCTGTCAGCAGACGAGTCAGGGGCAGTGGCATGGCCTAGGGCGTGGTCGTACAGTGAGATATCTTCCTTGGCAGTGAGCTGTAGGAACAGGTGCAGGTCATCTAGCCAGGTTTCGAACTTCACTGGACGGCCCTCGGCATCGAAAGCTAGAACGGGAGGACTAGCCATAGTGACAGTAGCAGTAGCAGTAGTAACAGTAGTAGTAGGAATCAGGCCGCTGGAAAGGTGTGCGGAGGGTCAACGGGGCCGGCGGGGCCGCTAGGTAAGGCGCGGGCGGGGTCGACTGTCCGTAGTGGCACACGAGCGGCAGTAGTAGGTAGCGTGGCAGCAGGAGCTGCAACGGCGCACTGGTGGCAGCTGCAGTGGCAGCAGTGTGCGCGGTAGGTAGAAAATAAAAACTGTGAGAGTGAGTGCCTCGCGGGCGGCGGCTGCAGAAGCGCACAGGCGGCAGCGGCGCACGGGCAGCGGCGGCGCACTGGCAGCGGGAGCGTAGGGGCAGCGGCGGCGCACGAGCAGCGGCGGCGCTCGGGAGGCAGCGGTGCGCAAGCAGCAGCGGAAGCAGCGGCGTACGAGCGGCTGCGGGCAGCAAGGCGTGCGCGAGCAGGCGACGGGCGGCTGCGGGGCGTGCGCGAGCAGGCGACGGGCGGCTGCGGGGCGTGCGTGAGTAGGCGACGGGGCCGCGGGGCCGCGAAGTGGGGCGCGAGCGGTGCGCGGGCAGTGCGCGGGCGGTGCGCAGGCGGTGCGCAGGTTGCACGGGCTTAGCGCGGGCTGCGTAAGCGGTGCACGGGGCGGCAGCGGGCCTGAAGGGGCGATCGCGGGGCCGACTAGGTCGCTAAGGGGCGAGCGGCGGGTCGATCGCGGGGCCGACGGGGCCGTACGAGGCGGTGCGCGGGGCCGTAAGGGGCGGTGCGCGGGGCCGTAAGGGGCGGTGCGCGGGGCCGTAAGGGGCGAGCGCGGGGCCGTAGCGAGGCCTTAAGGGGCGGCGCGGCGGGGCCGTAAGGGGCGAACGCGGGGCCGACGGGGCTTAAGGGGCGGCGCGACGGGGCCTTAAGGGGCGGGTCGCGGGTCGCTAGTGCTTAGGGGCCGAAAAAAAAGTCGAGGCGCCCTAGGTAGGTAGGTAGGTAGGGAGTTAGGTAGCGGTGGGCCCTTAAAAAAAACGGTCCTAGCGAAGGACCTGCTCTGAAACCATGTCGGAACAACAGACTGGAATGATGAACTAGAAAGGACTGTGAGTACAAATATGAAACCCTAATGTTGTGACCCCCCTATAGGCTAACCCACTACAGCCTACACAAATATAACATATACAATGTTTGACAAAAAAGTGTCAACAATTTTCTACCTGATCTAAAGTGTGCCAACTCTGCAAAGAGAGCCCCAAACGCGCAAGACAAAGTGTTCAGGCACTTGACTTTTAAGACTCCATAGGAATCTGGGAGGGTACGCTAAACACTTATGCTACCTATGCCCTCTAGCTCCGGTTACGTCCGACGGCGTTTTGCGTTGTACGTTGTATAATGCAATTTCACCTACCAAAAAGAAGAAAAAAAAAGTGCCAGAGAGGTGATCGACCAGGGGCCGAGAGGCCCGGAACCAACCAAACCGCTGTGCAAGGAGGGATAAACAAAGGGTCATCATTTATTGCACATATTTCTGTTACTAGTTGCTTGTACCGGCTTGCATTTTCGCTTACGTGTCATTTAGCGAGCCGACTCTACCGAGAACTTTTCGGGAAGCCAAAAAATACAGCCCCTTTAGAACCTGGATGCATTTTTGGGACGGGTCAACCCCAAAAACGGGAACCTTCTAGTATTTAGGGTTGATGCCTCCCGAGTCGCATCTGTTTCCGAATGGGTTATATGTTTTTTTCTTTTCTGTACGTTTCTGATCAGGTAGGTGATATGTATCACTAAGATGTAACAAATTGTTTTGTCTTCACAATTTAACATGCCGAATTTGACTTCCAGAAGAATGCGACGCACACGTTATAGTAGACAACTAGTAAATCTCATAATAAATAATACCATCGCACCTTGTTCTCCGATTTTTTATATTGCTCAATCTCATAGACTCTAAATGTGCTTTCGCGATAATGACATAAGGTTTGTTGAAAAAACTTAGGTAAGGAATTATGGACGACACATTCTCTGGCCAGGCATGGTTTATCATGAATATTCAAAATATGTTTCACTATTTGTTTTTTTATGGGCTAAAGTTCATGCTGTATTGATGCATAATATATTGCTGCCCTAAATATCTCAAAAAAAAAACCGTTCGACGGCTTCATCGACCCTCCATCAACCCATCGACCTTCGTCGGTCTGTTGCCCCTCGGCAGAAAAAAAAAAAACCCTATCCGATGGCATGACATCCGAGGGAGGCATCAACCCTTAACACATACGATAAGATGTTCAGGGTTTATGCCTCCTTGACTGGATGCATGCCCAAATGGACTTTATTTTTTTTACCAACAAACATCGAGCTTCGCTGGTAGGAGTCGTGTGTCCGTTGAGATATTTTCTTTGTTAACGCTCGGTAGCACTAACGAGCATTAGAGGATGCTACCAGGAATACTATAAGACGCTTCTAGGATCATAAAGATAGGGCAGAATAAAAAAAACCTAGAGACCTGGACGCATTCTTGGGAGCGATCAACCCTAAATACGGAAAAGGGCATTGTTTTTGGAGTTGACACTTTCTCGAGTGGCACCTCTTTCCAAGGGTTTTTTTTTCTAGTCAGGTGTAGTGATATATTTATGCTAATTCCTACAAAGCGGTTGCATTTATTGCATCTGAATCGCATCGGGTTCGTTTTCACCCTATTGTTAGGAATCAAAGGATCCTGAACTGGTGTTGATATCTAACGCAGGTCGACCAGACCGTCTTTGCAGGTGTAGAACAATTAGCGGTCCATAGGATGGAGAAATATAAAAATTCGAAGAACGCGGTGCGAGGGTAGTTGGCAGGATTAAAAACCTTCACAATTCGTTGTGTCACGCAATTATTTTTAAAAGCCTGACCTCTAGCGCGGCACGGCTGGCGCCTTGTTTGCCTCACCTCGAGATTTGGTCCGGAGAAAGCAGGTGGTTGGCTTGTGCACCGAATAAACTTTGGCGTGTCTGGGCTGGGTAACCTCTAAAAGATGCCTACATGTTCTCCCGATAACGGGGAAACTAGAGTTGAGCATTTTAGTGCAAGTCTAAAAACATCCCTCTTACAAGGTGGTACAGTAGTGGTTGATGCTGGGTGGTTGGTGACTGTGGTAGCACCGCATCACGTCTGTGAGGTCTGATTGGTGGCGGTGTTCGGTTCGGTGGCACTGTACTTGTAGTGGTGGTGAGTGCGTTCGGCTGATCGCGATTCGCGGTGTAGCAGACTCGGAGGTTTCTGTAATGCACCCCCTCTCCCTTGGAGGTAGGTTTGTTTCCACAGCGTATGTACACCCCTCACACCTCACCGAACCAGCAAACCCGAACTACCTAGCACCAGCTCACCATATTCCCGCCATTTTGTTTTACCAAAGCTTTACTCTGTTCGTTCTACGGGTAACGCCAGACATACAGAAGCACCAGACTAGAGAGTGATTTTTGTTAGTGCTATCTTACGCTTCTTGCAACAACGACCGACGCCACCTTCTCGCGTCAGGGTTTGGTTTTCAGTTTAAAGTTTCGTCATTTCTTCCAATCTCGTCCCGCCTCTCGCGCATTCGCGACATTGCCACGAGGGCAGTGGCTCGACACCTTGCAACAATGTCCACGCGGCTCGTGCTCTTGCTAGCAAGCATATCGCTTCTCGCTCTGCTCTCAAGTGCGTAAGAACAATCGTCAGGCGCCTCATGAATAAGTAAATATGAAAACAACACCTTTTTTCCGCCCCCGTGTGATCCCCTGCGTTAGCGTTAGCGTCTGCGTTTGCGTTGCCGGAAAACGAGTTCGTTTGTGGAACTTATATTCAATCGTTTGGATGAGCGAAACGCTCGCGATATGATGGAGCTGCCATTAATCACTCGTCACGTGCCCTTGTTCTGCTCTGCACGTTCTAACAATACTCTCACCGTTGTCACCCTCAGTCTTCTCCACGCTTGTTTTCCCCCCTTGTTCTCCCCCCTTGTTCTTTCCCTCTCGTTTTCCCCCATTCGTTGTTTCCTCCCCAGTCGTCCCCCCTTGTTCTTCCAGCGTTGTCCTGCGGCCATTGATCTCCCCATATTCGTCCACCCTTATTCCCCCCCCCCCCCCCCCCCCCCCCCCTTTCCTTCTCTTGTTTCTACCCTCTCGTTCTTCCCCCTTGGTTCTTTCCCCCTTGTTCTTCCCCCATTGTCTTGCAGCCATTGTTCTTCTCCCCATGTTCGTCCCCCTCCCCCTCCCCTTGTTCCCTCTTTGTCACGCCCCCTCTTGTCACGCCCCCTCTTGTCACGCCCCCTCTTGTCACGCCCCCTCTTGTCGCGGGCCCCCTTGTTGTCCCCCACATTGTTCTGTCGCCTCTGTCCCGCCTCCCACGTTCCGAAATTTGAGGCGCCTCAAAATACATTGTTCTGTCGCCTCTGTCCCGCCTCCCACGTTCCGAAATTTGAGGCGCCTCAAAATACATTGTTCTGTCGCCCCTGTCCCGTCTCCCACGTTCCGAAACTCCCTCTCTTCCCTCCCTCGCGACCCTCCCTCGTCGCCCCTTGTACCTTCCCATCAGAGTCGTTCGTTTTTTTCGTCGAGCTATTTCTCCGCACCTGCTTTTGAGGCTCTTAAAAAACGGACCCCGCACCCACATCACTGCTTCCTGCTGACCTTCCATCCTCTCTTCCCTCCCTCCCTCCCTCCCTCCCTCCGTCCCCCCTCCCTCCCTCCCTGTGCCTTCCCCTGCCGCTCTCCCTTTCCCTCCGATCCTATGACCATTCCTCTCCATCCCCGTCGTTCCTCATAAAATCCGATCCTCGTTGCGTTTCCCGTCGGCGCGTTTCTCTCCGCACCGCCATGGCCGCGTCACCCGCACCTCTCTCCCGCACTTGCGTTTTTCGGCGCCGCCTCCAACCGATTCGGTGCTGCCTCCAACCGATTTGGCGAACCAGGCTTCTCGCTCGCAGAGGTTAGCGCTCTCTTCTGCCTCTCTCTCCCCCCCTCCCCCTCCCCTCCTCCCCCCCTCCCTCTCTCCCCTCCCCCCCCTTCCCCTCCCCCTCCCCCTCTCCCCCCCCTCCCCCTCTCTCCCCTCTCCCCCCCCTTCCCCCTCCCCCTCCCCTTCCGCCAATATCGGCTCCCCGTATCCCTCTCGAATCGCCGTTTCCCCCATTTTCCTCCCTGTACCCCCTCCCTCCCCATATCCCCCCGCCCCCCATGTTCTCTTCCAACACTTCCTTTGTTGTGTGGTGCCGGTATTTTTTTTTTCCCCCTTTTTTTTCTTTTTTTTTTTTTCCCCACCGGGCAGGCGAAAACAATTTACGTTGGTGGGCGCTATGCGTGGAACCCGTGGGCCCCGGGAGTGAGGAAATGGAAGGGCCCTAACAAAGTCTTGAAAGGTGACACGCTGGGTGAGTCCTTCACATGCTCGCTCTCACTCTCTCTCTCTCTCTCTCTCTCTCTCTCTCTGTCTCTCTCTCTCTCACTCGCTCTCTCTCTCACTCTCTCTCTCTCGCTCTCTCGCTCTCTCGCTCTCCCGCTCTCTCGCTCTCTCGCTCTCGCGCTCTCTCTCTCTCTCTCTCTCTCTCGCTCTCGCGCTCTCTCTCGCTCTCGCTCTCTCTCTCTCTCTCGCACTCTCTCTCTCTCTCTCTCTCTCTCTCTCGCTCTCTCTCTCTCTCTCTCTCTCTCTCGCTCTCTCTCTCTCTCTCTCTCTCTCTCTCTCTCTCCCTCTCACTCACTTACTCACTTGCTCACTCGCACATTCACCCACTCTCTCTCTCTCTCTCTCTCTCTCTCTCTTTCTCTCTCTCTCTCTCTCTCTCTCTCTCTCTCTCTCTCTCTCTCACTCTCACTCTCATTCACTCACTCTCATTCATTTACTCTCACTCACTCACTCACTTCAAAACCTCTGTTCTGTTTCATTCCAATCGATTGCTACAGTTTTCAAATGGAAGAAAAAATCGAACGTGATTATGCTGGGCGATGCAACGGACCCTTTGGCGGCTTATTATTACAACAAGTGTACAGTGGACGCGGATACCTCCTTGAGCACCGTTATATCTGAAGCCAAGGCCTCCGGAGTTGCCAAGTTCACAATTCCCAAGGACTCTGTGTCAGAGGTCCACTGGGGATCCCCGATGATCCTAGGGAAGGGTTACAGGCACGTCGGCCTGGGGGGTTATGGGCGCACTCACCCGCTATATAAACAAGCACTTTCATCCCAGTGGTTAGTGGCTGGGATTCTGATACTCTGCGGCACTCCATTTTTGGTTCATGAGTACCGTTGGCAAGACGTGCAAGAACGGGCAGAAATATGAACCGTCGGCTCTCATTTGAAAGGAGGTGAAGGTAAGAGCCGCTGTGCAGTATCGTTTCTGCATGGATGTTTTATTAACTTAGGTTGCATCTATCCTTTTCAGGTAGTTAGCTTGTGTAAGTATATGAGATATGGTACCTACATTGAGCAGCATCTGACAAAGAAAGTGGAGGGCAGTGTAATTGGAGCCGCAGTGGCAGCCAGCGCCCCAGATAGGCGGGCATGTTAGGGTACACCGTGGGCTTTGGTGTAACCTCTGGTCAAACTTTTGGTCAACGCTGTAGCCAACCTTACAATTAAAGCCCAAGACCTGAATTACTCAACGCAAGTCAACGGAAAAAAATAGGTTCGGAAGGCAACCAGACAGAGGTTCGGTTGGGGTGCGAAGCACTTTCACTCGCGAAACCAATTTGCGACAAAAGTTTCTCGCGTACAAGAATACGAGTGCTAGGTGGGGTCCTTCCCACAACCTGAAAAGGGCGTAGATCCCAAACTGTGCACAGTCTGAGATAGCACGCAGATAACTAGGCAGGGAGCGTACCTGTAGAGATAGCGGGGAATCAGAGGCGCCTTACGAATGTGTGTGGCGCGGATTTCGATGACGACGCGCAAAGATAGTGTTCGTTGGTGTCGAAATGCAGGTTTAGTGCAACTGATGCGTAAACTCGCGGCGAATATCGTAGCGTGACCCTTCGCCAAAGCATGAACCTCTCCTTGCCGTCGTTTTCCTTTCCCAAGGCCCCACGATTTCAATCTCTTTCGCCATCGCTTCCCCAGCTCCTCGCCTTCAAGACCTCCTTCCGATGCCTTCGCGACCCCAGCCCGTCGCCTTCGCTCCGCCCGTTGCCCTCGCTTTCCACGCCTGTCGCCTTCACCTCCCCTCCCCCGTCGCCTTCTCTTTCCCCCAACCCCGTCGCGCTCAATTCCCCCTCCCGTCGCTTTTCCCGCCCGTCGCCTTCGCTTCTCCCGAACGGCGCCTTCCCTTCCCCCGCCCGTCGCTCTCGCTTCCCCCGCTCGTCGCACACCGCGCCAGTCGCACTCGCTTCCCGCCCGTCGCACTCGCTTCCCGCCAGTCGCACTCGCTTCCCCCGCCCGTCGCACTCGCTTCCCCCGCCCGTCGCTCTCGCTTCCCCCGCTCGTCGCACTCCCCGCCAATCGCACTCGCTTCCCGCCAATCGCACTCGCTTCCCGCCAGTCGCACTCACTTCCCGCCCGTCGCCTTCACTACCCCTCCCATTGCCGTTCACTCTCTCCAGCTCACGCTCTGCCCTCCACTCACTCTCTTCCCCACCCTTCACTCTCTTCTCTCATGTACACTCCCTTTCCCCCTGTTCTCACTCCTCTCTTTCCCCCTCGCCTCACTCTCTACCCCCTTGCTCAATCCCTTCCCCCCTGCTCACTCTCTCCCCCCTGCTCACTCTCTCCCCCTCTGCTCACTTTGCGCCCCTGCTCACTCTCTTCCCCCCTGCTCACTCCCTCCCCCCCCGCTCACTCTCTCCCCCCCTGCTCACTCTTTCCCCCCCTGCTCACTCTCTCCCCCTGGACTCACCCGCCTTTCCTCCCTGTTTACTCTCGATTCCCCTTCGTTTAACCTTTTTTCCCCACACTACTCTTATTTCCCTGTTCAGACCCCTCGGTTTCCCCTGCTTACTGGCTTTCCCCCCTGCTCACCCCCTTCTCCCCCCTGCTCACTCTCTTTCCCCTTTTGCTCACCCCTCTGCCCCGGCCACATCCAACCCTCGCTTATCTGCCATACCCCCTCTTCCCTTCCCGTTCTATCACGGAACCATGCTTGAACAGGTTACAGGTGCCCAGCACCATGAGTCCCAACAGGAATGTGATGAATGTGTTCCTATAGTCCATTGATGACAACTTTTACATAAACAATATTATGCTTTGTTCCACTTCTTTGTAGTGGCCATGTGCATGGCTGCTCTGAAGCAGAGAAGGTTTTATTAATAAAAGCATAAGCGTCAATACATGGCATGGCAACCTATTTGTCATACCACTACCGTCATTAAACAACGAACACCTCACATCTGGGTGCATGGCAGACCTGCACAAACACGAACCACAAAATTTTGTGTGTCATATGTTGGAGCAGCTGGGAAGGAGTGTCAAACATATGTTATATTGTTTATATCTAGGCTGTAGTGGGTTAGATACTAGAGGGTATAGGGTTGTTTCTTGTACGTCTCGAACTTCTCCTAGTGCAACTTTTCTCTCGACTCTCACATGGTATAGAGCTTAGGTTCCTACCACGGGCCCACCTTTTCTAGACTTTTTTTTACCTGCCCGAGGCGCGCTTTGCGCCGTGCCAGAAAATTTCGCGGCCTCTTACAGGCCTGCCCCGTTAAGGAGCGTCGCGGCCCCCTCTAAGGCCCGTTCGCGGCCCCTTAATCCCCCTTCGCGGCGCTTCGTGTTCTCCCCTTCGCGACGCCACGCGACCCTTTCGCGGCCCCTTGAGGCCCTTACGCGTCGCGTCGCGGCCCCTACGCCGCCCTTCGCGGCCCCTACGCCGCCCTTCGCGGCCCCTACGCCGCCCTTCGCGGCCCCTACGCGGCTCATTGGGGTCCCTTCGTGGCCCCGTCGCGGCTCCCTCACGGCCCCTTCGCGGCTCTTCCGCCGCGCTTCACGGCCCTGTCGCGGCCTCCTCCGCAGCTCGTCGTCACCAGCTGCCGCCGCCCTGCCACCTTGCCGCCGCCTCGGCAGCACCTGCCGCCGCACCTGCAGCTACTGTCTCTCGCGCCTCGGACGTCGCCGCTCCTGCCGTGACGACCGCCGCCACTGCTGCTGTGCCAGCCGCCGCTGCTCTTGCCGTGACACCTGCCGCTGCTGCACCTACGACAGCAGCCGCCGCCGTTGTTGTGTCAGCCGCCGCCGCTCCTGCCGTCCCAGCTATCGCTGCTACTGCTGTGACAGCCGCTGCCGCTGCTGCAGAGACAGCCGCCGCCGCCGCTGTTCGTCGGAGCCACCGCCGCCGTCCCGGCCCTGTTCTGCCGCCCTTTCGCGGCCCTGACCTTGCTCGAGCGCCTCGGCCCTGCCCCACCACCTTTGGCCTTCTCTAGCCCGCCCCTGGTAAGCGCATCGCCGAGTCGCGCCTCAAACTGCTACTACCTCACCTTGCTTGCTTTCTCTGCTGCTGCTAGCCTGCGTCGCCTGCTGCCATGGCTAGCCCTGCTGTGCTTACCTTCGATGCTGAGGGGCGAGCGATAGATTTTGAGGTCTGGCTTGACGACTTGCAGCTGTTCCTGCAGTGTGATAGCAAAGACGATGTCTCGCTGCATGACCTCACGTCTGGTGCTTCCCCCCAGCCTGCTACTGATGCTGATGCTACTGTGCGCTCTCGCTGGAACACTCGCGATGCTGCTGCCCGCCTTGCTGTGCGTAGTCACCTGCCGTCTGCTGAGCGTGCGCACTTCACTCAGTTTAAGACCGCTAAGACCCTGTTCGATGCTGTCGTTGCACGCTACTCCTCCCCTGCCTCTGCTGCCCTTAGCCGCATCATGCTGCCCTACCTTTTCCCTGACCTCGCTGCCTTTGCTACAGTTGCTGACCTCATTACGCACCTCCGCACTAGTGACACTCGCTACCGCGCTGCGCTTCCTGCTGAGTTCTGCGCCAAGAACCCCCCCCCCCATGTATATCACCCTCTACTACCTAGTCACCCGTCTTCCTGACTCCCTTCGCTCAGTCAGGGACCACTTCCTAGCTCTCTGCCCCACCACACTCACCGTTGACCTCCTCGAGAAGGAGCTCCTTGCAGCCGAGCAGAGTATAGCCGCTGTCGGAGCCTCTCGCGGTGACCCTCGTACCCCTATCTTTGAGGGGTGCTCCCCTGTTCCCCTTTTGCCCTCTGTTGCCTCTGCTGCTGCTGTCGACCTCCTTGGCACTGAGTCGGTCGGAGCTGCGTCTGCCCCTGGCGGGAGGCGCCGCAACAGCAAGGGCAAGGGGGGCAAGGGTGCTGGAGGAGCTGGCGGGGGTGGTGGTGGTGGCGGTGGGGGCGGCCGGGGGGGTGGGGGTGGAGGTGGGAGTGGGGGCGGGGGTGGGGGCTCTGGTGGCGGCGGTGGAGGCGGGGACAGTGGCAGCGGCGGCGGTGGGACTGGAGGAGGTGGAGGTGGCGGCGGAGGCAGTGGAGGCGGCAGTGGCGGGGGTGGCGGTGGTACTGGTCGGGGTGGCTCGGTGCAGAGGGGAGGCTCCGGTGGTGGACAGCGTCCGCAGCAGCAGCGCTCTCGTGAGGCCCCGCCGCCGCAGCAGCTTCACCAGTGGTACGCTGGGCGTCAGCGGCCTGGGGGTGCTGGTCCCTGTACGTACTTCTTTCGTACTGGTGACCGCACTGGAGAGCAGTGTGGAGGCGCGCACACCACTCAGCGCTGCTTCGGTCGCCTGACAGACGCCTGGCGTCTTAGGTTCCCTGAAGCCACTGAGCTCCCTCGCTGGCATGAGCTGCTTAGGTCGGGCGTTGCTATCTTTGATCTTGACTATGATGCTATCCTTGCTGCCATGTATGTTATGTCTACTAGTGATGACGGTGACTGTTACCTGAGTGTTCCGCCCGACCCGGGCGGTGCAGCTTTTGCTCTAGGTGCTAGTGAGTCTGCTGCTCCAGGTGCTAGTGAGTCTGCTGCTCCAGGTGCTGGTGAGTCTGCTCTCTCAGGTACCACGTCGGCTCAGGCGTCGCACACTTTCACCCTTGACTCGGGTGCTTCCCGCTCCTTCTTTCGAGACCGCACCACTCTTACGCCGCTCAACCGGCCGGTTGCGGTCTCCCTGGCAGACCCCTCTGGGGGTCCTGTCCTTGCTCACTACTCCACTGTCCTGCCGTGTCCAGCTGTCCCGTCTGGCTCCTTGTCCGGTCTTTACCTCCCCTCGTTCTCTACGAACTTGGTGGCGGGTGCTGACCTACAGGATGGGGGAGTTGACCAGTTCACTCCTGCGCGTCAGCGGGTGACCCACTGCACGTGTGCTGACACGGGCCGACACTTGGCCACGTTTACTCGTCGGCCGGGGTCGAGCCTGTACACACTGACTACCGAGTCTCCGCCGGTTGCTGTTCCTGGTCAGGTAGCTGCGTCGGGTCAGGTGTTTGCTGCAGCGTCTCGGTCTG